TCACTCTGAGGACAGCGTTCCTCATTCTGAGGACAACGTTCCTCAGTCTAAGGACAGCGTTCCTCACTCTGAGGACAGCGTTCCTCACTCTGAGGACAGCGTTCCTCACGCTGAGGACAGCGTTCCTCACCCTGAGGACAGCGTTCCTCACTCTGAGGACAGCGTTCCTCTCTCTGAGGACAGCGTTCCTCACTCTGAGGACAGGGTTCCTCACTCTGAGGACAGCGTTCCTCACTCTGAGGACAGCGTTCCTCACTCTGAGGACAGCGTTCCTAACTCTGAGGAAAGCGTTCCTCACTCTGAGGAAAGCGTTCTTCACTCTGAGGACAGCGTTCCTCACTCTGAGGACAGCGTTCCTCACTCTGAGGACAGCGTTCGTCACTCTGAGGTCAGCGTTCCTCACTCTGAGGTCAGCGTTCCTCACTCTGAGGACAGCGTTCCTCACTCTGAGGACAGCGTTCCTCATTCTGAGGACAGCGTTCCTCACTCTGAGGACAGCGTTCATCACTCTGAGGACAGCGTTCCTCACTCTGAGGACAGCGTTCCACACTCTAAGGACAGCGTTCCTCACTCTGAAGACAGCGTTCCTCGCTCTGAGGACGGCGTTCCTCACTCTGAGGACTGCGTTCCTCACACTAAGGACAGCCTTCCTCACTCTGTAGACAGCGTTCCTCACTCTGAGGTCGGCGTTCCTCAATCTGAGGACAGCGTTCCTCACTCTGAGGACAGCGTTCCTCATTCTGAGGACAGCGTTCCTCACTCGGAGGACAGCGTTCCTCACTCTGAGGACAGCGTTGCTTACTCTGAGGACGGCGTTCCTCACTCTGAGGACAGCGTTGCTTACTCTGAGGACGGCGTTCCTCACTCTGAGGACAGCATTCCTCACTCTGAGGAAAGAGTTCCTCACTCTGAGGACAGCGTTCCTCACTCTGAGGACAGCGTTCCTCAAACTAAGGACAGCGTTCCTCACTCTGAGTACAGCGTTCCTCACTCTGAGGTCAGCGTTCCTCACCCTGAGGTCAGTGTTCCTCACTCTGAGAACAGCGTTCCTCACTCTGCGGAAAGCGTTCCTCACTCCGAGGTAGGCGTTCCTCACTCTGAGGACAGCGTTCCTCACTCTGAGGACAGCGTTCCTCACACTGAGAACAGCGTTCCTCACTCTGAGTAAAACTGGGATATATGTTGATGAATGGAAAAAGGCGTGGGTAATGCCAATTTTTAAATCTGATGATAGACAAATATGTGAAAATTACCGACTGATATCTATATTGCCTATTTTCAGTAAAATACTAGAGAGATCGGTTTTCAACCTGATTTATATGTTTTTGAATGATAATTCGCTGCTATCTAAACATCAATCTGGCTTTCGGCCTAAGCATTCAACTTTAACAACACTCATTCAAATGTGTGACACACTTTATGAGAACATGGATAATGGTCAGTTGAGTGGTGTTGTTTTTCTTGATATTAGAAAAGCTTTTGATTCTATTGATCATACAATCTTATTGCAAAAGATGAATCATCAATTTGGAATAAAAAATGTGGAACTGGATTGGTTTAAGTCCTATCTAACTAATAGAGAGCAAGCATGCATTGTCAACGGTGCAATGTCATCACCTAAAACGATTGTGTGCGGAGTTCCGCAGGGATCAATTCTTGGTCCCTTGCTGTTTTTATTATATATTAATGATTTACCCGAATGCCTCGAAAAAACTTCGCCACACCTATACGCTGATGATACTCAAATTTCTACTTCTGCCAAAACTATTGAGGAACTTACTGAAAATCTAAATAATGACCTGAAAAAAGTCGGTGAGTGGCTTGCTCGAAATAAACTGCAACACCACCCAACTAAGACCAAATTAATGTATATCGGTTCAAAGTATAATGCTGATACTATGACTTATGATATTCCAGTAATGATGAATAACCAATTCATAACTCTTGCTCATTCATACACATGCCTTGGGGTTAAACTTGATGAAAACCATAATTGGCATGAGAATGTTGAAATGACTTGTAAGAAAGTTGGGGCCGGCATAGGAGCAATGCAACGAATTAAGCCATATGCTCCTATAAATACCCTGCATACCATTCACAGAGCTTTGATAGAACCGTATTTTGATTATTGTAGTCCATTATGGGACGTCTGTAACCAACAGCTGAAAGATAAGCTTCAAAAGTTCCAAAACCGTGCAGCGAGAATTATAACCGGCGCCAGCTATGAAATAAGGTCTGCTGATGTTCTTCGATCCCTTGCTTGGGAAAATTTAGAGATAAGACAACGTACAACTAAATCCACATTAATGTATAAACTCTTGAATGATTGCGCTGGGCCGAACTTGAAGGATGCTCTAACGAGAAGGGACCTTGTTCAAACCAGTTATAATCTTCGTAATACTTATACTGACCTTACCCTTGCTAAGCCAAAACGAGAATTTCTAAAAAAAAGCTTTAAGTATAGCAAAGCTAAATTGTGGAATAGTCTTCCTTCTGATGCGAAGCTAGCGCAATCAATTTATTCTTTTAAAAACTGCCTGAAAGTTTCACGCTAACATCTTCTAATATACTGTATATGCATGCTTTAGAAATATGGGTCACACCGTTTGGAACTTAATTCTTGTATTGTAAATAGTTGTACATAATTCTTTATTCTTTTCTATATCATATTTGTAATTTTTAATAGTAACCGACGTCCCTCGTGAAAATCAACAAATCGTTGACGAGGCTAACGTCTTTAAATAAAGTTTACATACATACATACATACATACATACATACATACATACATAGCCTTCCTCACTCTGATGTCAGCGTTCCTCATTCTGAGGACAGCGTTCCTCACTCTGAGGACAGCGTTCCTCACTCTGAGGACAGCGTTCCTCACTCTGAGGACAAGGTTCCTCATTCTGAGGCAATCGACTTCGTTAAGGATACGATTCCGTTTAAAATCCGCCATCATTTTACTAGTCCGGACCATGAATGTTTATGGATCATACTACGTCCAAAATGGCTCCCCAGATCAATCTCAAAAATTGCCTTGGCATGCGTTTATTTACCCCCATCGCTAAATTCTGGAGCTATTGAGGAATTTTACGACTATTTCTGCAGCTGCTACGACGCGCTCACAAGTGAAAGTCCGAATCTATCAATTGTTGTTGCTGGGGATTTCAATTCTGTGAGTAACTGTTTTCAAGAGAAGATAATTACGAACAACTGCCGATTAAAGCAGATGGTGAAGAAACCAACAAGGGGAACAGCAATTCTTGATCTTATATTTAGCAACGCTCACATTTTATATGAAGAACCGGAGGTACTTGCCCCGCTTGGTAGTTCTGACCACAGCATGATCGTTTGGAGACCAAGAGTTAGACACAAGTCGCTATACCTAATGAGCAGGAACAGATATGTGAAGCATCTGACGATCAAGATATATCTATGTTCGTTGATGATAGTACATTGTCCGAAGTCATTACCATAACTCAACATTCATCTGGTAGCCCAATTGGTAACACCCAACGAAGTGTAAATAACGTAGTGCAATTTGCAAAGGATGAGAGTATGGAACTGAATGGAAAAAATGTAAAGAAATGCTAATTGATTTTCGGAAGAAGAAAACAGAAATACCACTGATTAATATTGGCGACGATAAAATATCCCGTGTAAAGTCGTATAAATTGTTAGGAATATGGATAGACGATGACATGAGATGGAAAACCAACACTGAGTATATTGTAAAAAAAGGCGCTAAGCGACTTTACCTCTTGAAGATTTTAAAGAGTTATGGTGCACCAAAAAATGACCTATTAGCTTTCTATTGTACAGTAATTCGTTCTGTTCTGGAGTATGGTGCACAAATTTGGAGTGGTGGTCTGACACAAATGCATAAGAAAAACATAGAAAGAATCCAAAAACGAGCACTCCGAATAATTTATCCTGGCCTTTCTGATTATGGACTTCTATTATCTCAGAGCAATCTGCTGACCTTAGAAGAACGCAGAAACAATTTATGTGCCTCTTTAATTGAGGACATGTTACAACCATCACACAGACTTCACGGACTATTGCCAAAGAAAGTGAGTGACATTAGGGAAAGAGAGACTAGCACAAATGGCGAAAAGATTTATAACTTTTTTTGCAACACTGAGCGTTTTAGAAAGAGCCCTGTAGTTCATGCTATTAATGAATATAATTTTAAATTAGATAAGTAAGATTTATATACATATTTATACAATTCCATATATATATATATATATAAACGATTTTAATATACATATAGGTCCATTGATGTAAATAGTTCTAAATAAGTAATAATTCTAATTAATTCTAATTAATATCTGATGATGTAAACACGTTGTAATTTAGCTTTTTGCTATTGAACGTGTATTAATAAACCCACTATTATTATTATTATTATTATTATTATTATTATAATGTTCCTCACGCTGAGGACAAGGTTCCTCACGCTGAAGACAAGGTTCCTCACGCTTAGGACAAGGTTGCTTACTCTGAGCACAAGGTTCCTCACTCTGAGGACAAGATTCCTCACTTTGAGGACAAGGTTCCTCGCGCTGAGGACAAGGTTCCTCAATCTGAGGACAAGGTTCCTTACGCTGACGACAAGGTTCCTCACGCTTAAGACAAGGTTCCTCACGCTTAGAACAAGGTTGCTTACTCTGAGGACAAGGTTCCTCACTCTGAGGACAAGGTTCGTCACTTTGAGGACAAGGTTCCTCACGCTGAGGACAAGGTTCCTCAATCTGAGGACAAGGTTCCTCACGCTGAGGACAAGGTTCCTCACGCTGAGGACAAGGTTCCTCCCTCTGATGACAAGGTTGCTTACTCTGAGGACCAGTTTCCTCACACTGAGGACAAAGTTCCTCACCCTGGAGAAAAGGTTCCTCATTCTGAGGACAAGGTTCTTCACTCTGAGGACAGGGTTCCCCACTCTGAGGACAAGGTTCCTCACTCTGAGGACAAGGTTCCTCACTCTGAGGACAAGATTCCTCACTCTGCGGACAAGTTTCCTCACTCACAGGCCAAGGTTGCTAACTCTGAGGACAAAGTTCCTCACTCTGCGGACAAGGTTCCTCACTCTGCGGACAAGGCTCCTCACTTTGCGGATAAGGTTCCTCACTCTGAGGACGAGGTTCCTCACTCTGAAGACGAGGTTCCTCACTCTGAGGACGAGGTTCCTCACTCTGAGGACGAGGTTTCTCACTCTGAGGACGAGGTTCCTCACCCTGAGGACGAGGTTCCTCGCTCTGAGGACAAGTTTCCTCACTCTGAGGACAAGGTTCCTCACGCTGAGGACAGGGTTCCTCACTCTGAGGACAAGGTTCCTCACGCTGAGGACAAGGTTCCTTACTATGAGGACAAGGTTGCTCAAGCTGAGGACAAGGTTCCTCACGCTGAGAACAAGGTTCCTCACGCTTAAGACAAGGTTCCTCACGCTTAG